CCCCAAAACCCCAAAACCCCAAAACCCCAAAACCCCACCCTGCTATCAATAGTTGAAATAGCGGGTTAGATCTGAATTTAACATAATTTAAAAAATGAGTTCAGTTCATGGCCAAGGGAGGAAGACTCCTCAGAAAAGAAAGACAAGAAGCAATACTTCGAAGAGTAAAAAGGGTAAGCATAGTTCATATCTTTTCGCCTAAATTGGATTGATATCTTCAGCTTACTAACTTCACCAGCTTTTGTACTGTTTCGTTTAAATATTAATTGGCGTTTAGAAAAAGCAATGGAGAAATTGGAAGAGTCAAAGGAAGTAAAGAAGACTTCAATTAGGAAGAGTTCATACTCAAAACAAGCGAATACCCCTCAGGTGAATAGGCTACTATCCTTCGGGTCTCAGCCCGCTTCCTTCTCCCCAATGAAGTATATTTTCATTTGCGGAGGATCCATTAGTGGGCTTGGTAAAGGAGTTACGGTCAGCAGTATTGGAGCAGTATTACAACTACATGGTTTCTCTGTGACATCCATCAAGATAGACCCCTACCTCAATGTAGATGCAGGGACCATGTCTCCCTTTGAACACGGAGAGGTCTATGTCCTTGAAGATGGAGGAGAAGGAGACCTTGACCTCGGAAACTATGAGAGATATCTTGACATTAACCTTGGCAGTACTCACAACTTGACAACTGGTAAAGTATACTCCAAAGTTATTGAAGCTGAAAGAAGAGGAGATTACTTAGGCAAGACAGTCCAAGTAGTCCCCCACATCACTAATGCTATTATGGATTGGATTAACATTACTTCAGAAATCGGAGTTAAAGCACAAGATAAAAATGAGCTAGCAGATATTTGCTTGGTCGAGGTTGGAGGAACAGTAGGAGATCTTGAATCAGGAGCATACTACGAAGCTATTCGTCAGTTTATTCTTAAGAAAGGGGAAGAAAACTGAGCATTAGGGTTTGTCAGCTACATCCCTCGTATTTCGGGTGGGGAACTGAAATCAAAGCCAACACAACATGGTGTGAAGGAACTAAGAAGTTTAGGACTTTCCCCAGATTTCATTGTGTGCAGAAGTGAGGTAGAGGTTCCACATGAATTGAAGCAAAAGATAGCTTCTTTCACAAACGTTAAAGAAGACTGTGTGTACTCCGCTCACAATGTTGATGACATTCTCTTTGTCCCAGAATTACTCGAAAGTCAGGGAATCGCTGATGCTTTATTGAGGAGAATTAGATTGGTCTCTCAAACAAAGAGGTCTGACAAATGGGATCAGCTAATCACTCGTATTAAGACTATAAAGGAAAACTCCAAGGATGCTGTGAAAATAGCCATGGCAGGAAAGTATACTGGACTCCAGGACTCATACCTCTCAGTTATTAAAGCACTCGAATTCGGAGCAATTAATGCGGGAAGGCAATTGGAAATTCTCTGGATTGATTCTAGCAAATTGAAAAATCCAGAGGACCCAGCATGGGAAAACCTCAAAGAAGCTGATGGAATTCTTGTGCCAGGAGGTTTTGGAGGTAGAGGAACCGAAGGGAAAGAACTAGCAATAAAATATGCCAGAGAAAACAACGTTCCCTTCCTTGGCATCTGCCTTGGAATGCAACTTGCTGTGTTAGAATTTCTCAGAAATGTATGAGAAATAAGTGATATTGGGCATGAGGAGCTTCATGATAATTGAGACAAGAAGGCTATAGTTTTTATGCCTGAAATTTCCAAAACTATGAAGGGAGGAACAATGAGACTTGGTTCTAGACATACTTATATTAAAGATCCAGACTCATTAGCTTCCAAGGTGTATTATGGAGCCAGCTCTGTATACGAAAGACATAGGCATAGATATGAAGTGAATATCGAATATAGAAAGTTGGTTGAAGAGAAAGGCTTGGTATTTAGTGGTGAAGACGGAAATAAAGAAAGAATGGAGATAATTGAGCTTGAAAATCATCCATTCTTCTTTGGTACTCAGTTTCATCCAGAGTTCACCTCAAGACCATTCAAGCCAAATCCTTGTTTCTACTCCTTCATCTTAGCTGCTTCTGGACAGTTCGATAAAATCGGAGAGAGGTCAGACTTGGAAATTGAATACTCTTGCTAATTCTTTATGATAAATCTAGTCAAAATACTAAGAAATTTCAATTTTATCATCTAACTGTGGGGTTTTGGGGTTTTGGGGTTTTGGGGTTTTGGGG